ATTAAAAAGAAAATTATAAAGTAAAATGATTTGTTAACAAATTTAAAGCCAACAAATATTATTAGACTTTGAAATTCCAAAAGTGTGATTGTATTTTACAATAAAGATACCGTGCAAAGAAATATAGGGAAAATGCTATAGAATATTTAATAATGTTGTGGGTTAGGATTACTAGATGCTTAACTCTTGGATTTTGGATTAACTAATAAATTATTTTTTATTGGTTCTTGAATGCGATTGTAAATAGCAATTTATGGACCTTCATACATTATTAACTGTACTCCTAGGGCCGTGGCTAGGTTGTTGGAGGCCCTGAGCAAATTCTTGTAAAGGGGCCCATAGATATAGAAATTATTTTTCTAAAATAATAAATGACTAATTTCATTAACTTAAAAAACTTCACTTAAATAGTAATTTCAAATCATCAATTACATCACATCCATAAAAAAAAATACAAGTTACAAATTCACTTAAAACGTGATACTCGTGTTACATTCTTTGAAACAAAATCATCTATAAAAGTTTCAATATCAACATTTTCCAAAATATCACTCTCAATAGATATTAAAGCAAGTCCATTTAGTCTTTCTTGCGTCATGGTTGTCCTTAAGTATGACTTGAGCAACTTTAGCTTTGAAAAACTCCTCTCTGCAGAAGCAATAGTAACAGGTATAGTCAATAAAATTCTGTATGCAATTGTGACATTTGGAAAGCAATTGAAGCGTTTCAAGAACCTTAATATATCCATTGCTCCCATCATTTCCTTAGGTAACATCTCTCTAAGCAATTTTAACTCAGTAAAAAGATCATTTCAATGACAATCAAAAAACTCACCTCTCCTAAGAGCATTTTCAAAGTGACTACAACATGATTGGAGTTTAATGTCATCCATTGATTGCAAAGTAAACAAAAATCCAAAAACACTCTCATATAATTCATATTGTTCAAACCTCTTTTTCAATGATGAAATAGCTTGATCAACAATGTAGATAAAATAGTGAATTCTAAATGATTCCTCTGGAGATAATGATGTCTCCTCACTATCAACCTCATCAAATTGTCTTTTTTTTACGTATTATACGCCTTTGAGGAAAGATAGGGTTGACTCCAATTTCAATGGCTAATTTTGTTGCAAGGTCCATGGCATTTGAAAATCCAACATCTCTATAATTTCTGAAAAAGGAAATCAATCCTTTTATCTCACACATAACAATATTAATCATCATATTTTCTGACTGTAGATATTTGCTAACCTTGTTCACAACAGATAAAATGTCATACCAAATGATTGTAGATAGTAAAAACTCAAAACTACCAAGCTCATTAGTTGCTAAAGATTTTGCTTCACTCTGAGTTTTAGAATCAATATCAACAGTAGCTACTTCAAGTAAGGCTTCCCTTAATTCAACAATTTGAAATCTTATTGCTTTGATACTATCAATTCGACTTTCCCAACGTGTGGCTGACAGTGATTTGGGAGTATACTCTTTCACATAATGTTTTAAAATATCCCACCTCTTTGTTGAACTAGCAAATATAGTATATATTCATTGAACTAATCCAAAAATATCCCTTGCTTTATTTGAAGTGTTTGCAATTTCACACAAATCCAAATTAAGACTATGATAACCACATGGAGTATAAAAAGCTCTAGGATAAAAATCTAATAGTCTTTTTTGTACACCTTGATGTTTACCTTTCATATTAGACCCATTATCATATCCTTGACCTCTAATATTATCTATATCAAGATCATGAGATTTAAGCACATCTTCTAACACTTTAAAAAGCCCTTGGCCAGTTGTGTCATTAAATTGTAAGAACTCGATAAAAAATTCTTCAATTTTAAAAGTATTAGAAGAGCCATCAACACACCTTATAATTAGAGTCATTTGTTCCTGGTGACTAGCATCTGGTGTACAATCCAACATCACAGAAAAATATCTAGCTTCTTTTATTCTATTGATAATAATAAATCTAATCTTGGAGGAAAGAAAAAGTATCAACTCGTTTTGAATGTCATTACTCAGATAATGGTGATGAATCTTACCACTAGCAATACGCTGAACATGTTCGATCATTACAAGATCAAACTCAGCCAATATTTCTATCAAACCCAAAAAATTTCCATTGCTCTTTTGATATAATCTTCCATTCCCCCCCCCCCCGAAATGCTAGGTTATTTTTAGCAAGATACTTCACAATAACAATAATTCTAATAATTACATTTTTCAAATACTCTTTTTCTTTCTTGAATTGTTCTTGAGCAACTTTATCAATTGTTTCATTTTGTTGCAGCCTATGCCTAAGTTCACACCAAGTTGCCATGTTTAGTACATGGTCAATACTTGTTTCATGTTCTTTAAATCTGGTACTAAGATGCATCCAATTATTATATCCTTCATTTATTAAATTACCTTTCCCAGGACCAGGACCCTTTTTAAAAATCTTACAACAAAAACAAAACACTTTGTCGAGCTCTTTTGAATAAACAAGCCATTCCCTATCACAAGTTTCACCATTCGACAAATATCTTGTATAAAAGGTTGAAGAAAATCTACGAAAAATTTGTCTTTGGGGCCTTTCACAATGCTCAAGTCTCTTTTGGGGCCATTTACAGCCAAACTGTCAATTAATTTAGACTCAAGAGAAGGGTCGTGGCTAGGTTGTTGGAGGCCCTGAGCAAATTCCTGTAAAGGGGCCCTTAGATATAGAAATTATTTTTCTAAAATAATAAATGACTAATTTCATTAACTTAAAAAACTTCACTTAAATAGTAATTTCAAATCATCAATTACATCACATCCATAAAAAAATACAAGCTACAAATTCACTTAAAACGTGATACTCGTGTTACATTCTTTGAAACAAAATCATCTATAAAAGTTTCAATATCAACGTCTTCCAAAATATCACTCTCAATAGATATTAAAGCAAGTCCATTTAGTCTTTCTTGCGTCATGGTTGTCCTTAAGTATGACTTGAGCAACTTTAGCTTTGAAAAACCCCTCTCTGCAGAAGCAACAATAACAGGTATAGTCAATAAAATTCTGTATGCCATTGTGACATTTGGAAAGCGATTGAAGCGTTTCAAGAACCTTAATATATCCATTGCTCCCATCATTTCCTTAGGTAACATCTCTCTAAGCAATTTTAACTCAGTAAAAAGATCATTTCCATGACAATCAGAAAACTCACCTCTCCTAAGAGCATTTTCAAAGTGACTACAACATGATTGGAGTTTAATGTCATCCATTGATTGCAAATTTTCAGAAGTAAACTAAAATCCAAAAACACTCTCATATAATTCATATTATTCAAACCTCTTTTTCAATGATGAAATAGCTTGATCAACAATGTAGATAAAATATTGAATTCTAAATGATTCCTCTGGGGATAATGATGTCTCCTCACTATCAACCTCATCAAATTTTCTTTTTTACGTATTATATGCCTTTGAGGAAAGATAGGGTTGACTCCAATTTCAATGGCTAATTTTGTTGCAAGGTTCATGGCATTTGAAAATCCAACATCTCTATAATTTCTGAAAAAGGAAATCAATCCTTTTATCTCACACATAGCAATATTAATCACCATATTTTCTGACTGTAGATATTTGCTAACCTTGTTCACAACAGATAAAATGTCATACCAAATGATTGTAGATAGTAAAAACTCAAAACTACCAAGCTCATTAGTTGCTAAAGATTTTACTTCACTCTGAGTTTTAGAATCAATATCAACAGTAGCTACTTCAAGTAAGGCTTCTCTTAATTCAACAATTTGAAATCTTATTACTTTGATACTATCAATTCGACTTTCCCAACGTGTGGCTGACAGTGATTTGGGAGTATACTCTTTCACATAATGTTTTAAAATATCCCAACTCTTTGTTGAACTAGCAAATATAGTATATATGCGTTGAACTAATCCAAAAAAATCCCTTGCTTTATTTGAAGTGTTTGCAATGTCACACAAAACCAAATTAAGACTATGACAACCACATGGACTATAAAAAGCTCTAGGATTCAAATCTAATAGTTTTTTTTGTACACCTTGATGTTTACCTTTCATATTAGACCCATTACCATATCCTTGACCTCTAATATTATCTATATAAAGATCATGAGATTTAAGCACATCTTCTAACACTTTAAAAAGCCCTTGGCCAGTTGTATCATTAACTTGTAAGAACTCGATAAAAAATTCTTCAATTTTAAAAGTATTAGAAGAGCCATCAACAAACCTTATAATTAGAGTCATTTGTTCCTGGTGACTAGCATCTGGTGTGCAATCCAACATCACAGAAAAATATCTATCTTCTTTTATTCTATTGATAATAATAGATCTAATCTTGGAGGAAAACAAAAGTATCAACTCGTTTTGAATGTCATTACTAAGATAATGGTGATGAATCTTACCACTAGCAATACGCTGAACATGTACGATCATTACAGGATCAAACTCAACCAACATTTCTATCAAACCCAAAAATTTCCATTGCTCTTTTGATATAATCTTCCATTTCCCCCCCGAAATGCTAGGTTATTTTTAGCAAGATACTTCACAATAACAATAATTCTAATAATTACATTTTTTCAAATACTCTTTTTCTTTCTTGAATTGTTCTTGAGCAACTTTATCAATTGTTTCATTTTGTTGCAGCCTATGCCTAAGTTCACACCAAGTTACCATGTTTAGTACATGGTCAATACTTGTTTCATGTTCTGTAAGTCTAGTACTAAGATGCATCCAATTATTATATCATTCATTTATTAAATTACTTTTCTCAGGACTAAGACCCTTTTTAAAAATCTTACAACAAAAACAAAACACTTTGTCAAGCTCTTTCGAATAAACAAGCCATTCCCTATCACAAGTTTCACCATTCGATAAATATCTTGTATAAAAGGTTGAAGAAAATCTACGAGAAAATTTGTCTTTGGGGCCTTTCACAATGCTCAAGTCTCTTTTGGGGCCATTTACAGCCAAAATGTCAATTAATTTAGACTCAGAGAATCCCATTTTCTTGGATCATATATGTCAACATAAACAGATTCATTTTGTTCAACATTGCGGTTAGTATGATCAGAATTATGGTCCATATTTTGTTCAGAATAATGGGAAATATTGGCATTCTCCTTATTAACAACACCATCCACAATTTCCTCTTGTTCAACATTCTAACCATCAACATTAGTTCCATTTAATTCCTGAGAGTGAGAATTAACATCATTTTCCTCTACTACTTGGGTATCCTTTAAAAAAAACTTATCCAAAGCACCTTTTTGAGACTGAATTAATTGTTCTACTCTTTTAGTTTTTTGACGCTTTTTATATCCAGATTGATATTTTCGAATCATATTGAACAAAATCAACACAAAACAAAAACAACCACAAAATCAACACAAATAAAAAACAAATCAGAGTGAGATAAGATAGCACCATAGTTCTGAGTTCAACTTGCAGCCGTCAACTCTCCTCAAATTAACATCATCAAATCTGCAATTTATATACAATAATAAGAACTAAAAAGCACAAAATTTAATTAGTTACAATTACAAATACAACAAAGAAAAAAAGGTTGAACCATTAAATTAAAAAGAAGTAATACCCATCTCTTTAATTTCTCCTGGAAATGGGATATTCAATTTCTCAAAATTGAAATTATTAAAGAGATTGAATTTGGGAAAATACGTAGGAATTAAGAACGAAGAATCAAAGTGTGTGGAATAATAAGAAGGAAACATGCGTTTATAATAAGAAGGAAATATGTGTTTTTTCCTTTGTTAAACAATATTATAATTGAAAAGCTGGAAACAAAGAAATTGAAAAGTTGAAAATCACATGCAAAACAATTAAAAGCTGGAAATCACATGCGTTGAAAAGCTGGAACAATAGCAAAGCATTAAATGCAGTATTATATTAATCAGCAGTACAGCTGTATTACACCAAATATATTAAAAAGTCGACGTTTTCGTGTTCCCAAAGGTCAAATGTTTGTTTTTTTACAGCAATATTTTGGGGCCCTATTTTTGTGGGGCCCTGCGCCGTCGCGCAGTATGCGTCGGCTCTGTCACGCCCCTGTTCAAGAGAATCCCATTTTCTTAGATCATATATGTCAACATAAACAGATTCATTTTGTTTAACATTGCGGTTAGTATGATCAGAATTATGGTCCATATTTTGTTCAGAATTATGGGAAATATTGGCATTCTCCTTATTAACAACACCATCCACATTTTCCTCTTGTTCAACATTCTCACCATCAACATTAGTTCCATTTAATTCCTGAGAGTGAGAATTAACATCATTTTCCTCTACTACTTGGGTATCCTTTAAAAAAAACTTATCCAAAGCACCTTTTTGAGACTGAATTAATTGTTCTACTCTTTTAGTTTTTTGACTCTTTTTTATATCCAGATTGATATTTTCGAATCATATTGAACAAAATCAACACAAATAAAAAACAACCACAAAATCAACACAAATAAAAAACAAATCAGAGTGAGATAAGATAGCACAAGAGTTCTGAGTTCAACTTGCAATCGGCAACTCTCCTCAAATTAACATAATCAAATATGCAATTTATATACAATAATACGAACTAAAAAGCACAAAATTTAATTTTTTACAATTACAAATAAAACAAAGAAAAAAAGGTTGAACCATTAAATTAAAAAGAAGTAATACCCATCTCTTTAATTTCTCCTGGAAATGGGAATTTTAATTTCTCAAAATTGAAATTATTAAAGAGATTGAATTTGGGAAAATACGTAGGAATTAAGAACGAAGAATCGAAGTGTGTGGAATAATAAGAAGGAAACATGCGTTTATAATAAGAAGGAAATATGTGTATTTCCTTTGTTAAACAATATTATAACTGAAAAGCCGGAAACAAAGCAATTGAAAAGTTGAAAATCACATGCAAAACAGTTAAAAGCTGGAAATCACATGCGTTGAAAAGCTGGAACAATAACAAAGCATTAAATGCAGTATTATATTAATCAGCAGTACAGTTGTATTATACCAAATATATTAAAAAGTCGACGTTTTCGTGTTCCCAAAGTCAAATGTTTATTTTTTTACAACAGTTTTTGGAGCCCTATATTTGTGGGGCCCCTACTCCGACGCACAGTATGGGTTGGCTCTGCCACGCCCCTGTGTACTCCACAACCCTTGGTCCACGTAGCTACACATACCAACATGTTCAATTATTATATAAGGTTTGTAAATATAAAAGTTGAACAGTGACACATTCAGCCATGCCTCACGCATGCCTTGGGTTCCTTTCATCAAATATAATATTCATACTTGTTATTCAATACATATAAACTTGGAAATTGGATTATAGGATGTTCGGCTTTATTTTACGATTTTTGATGATTTTTTAATAGTTTAACTTTTTTTTGTAATTCGTTTATTAATTCAGTCTGATTTGTTTGTATTTATTTTTCGTTCGAGTATTTTGATTGAGTTCTTAACCTTTTCTATGTATGATTCTTATATGATCTAAAGTGACTAGTTTCAATGTTATTAAAAAATGTTTAAATTGTGTATTTAATTTACAATGATCGTTATAAACCCTTATTATAATTTTGGATATCTTCACTTTTTGATAAGACTAGCGATTTTTATTGAAATAATTAGATTATAGTGTAAATAATTAATATGTGTATATGTATGATTTTATGATATTTATGCAAGTATGTATGTATGTATGATACATGCATTACATAGACTATCGTGTAAATAAGATTAAAAGTGTAATATTTTAATAGATATTTTAATTTAAAAATATTATAAAAATATATTGATGTGTGTATGATACATATGTTATATGCATATATTATGTATGTATATATGTATGTATGATGCATGTATTAAAATTTTAAGCTTTTTAATTTAAATAAATTTTAAAATTTTATAAATGTGGTACATGTCAACGAACAATTTTTTAAACTAAAATATCTATTAAAATATATTGATGTGTGCACATACATACATGTATGATTCATAATTCATATTTTATTATAACATTTAAAAATTAATCATATTAATTAGTATGATTTATTATAAACTCAAAATCTCACAATTTTATTAAAATCTTATATTTCATCAATGGTGATATATAAGTCAGGTAAATGTCAAGTCAGGTAAATATCAGATTAGATCAATAACAAGTCGGATCATTTACAGGTCAGGTTGAAAACAGGTCGGGTGATACCAGTTATTTACCAGGTCAATCTCGGGTTCGGGTTCATATCAGTCAGATGCAGGTCGGGTTCGGGTATCATATTTTCGGTTCAATTCAGGTTCAGGTCGTTATCAAGTCGGGTTCAGATACACAATTTCCAAGTCCAACTCGGGTTCAGGTCAACACCAGTTTCGACTTGAGTCGGTTTCAGATCGCTACAGCGCAGGTCAAAAACAGTCTTGACGCGAGTCGGTTTCAATCAGTTTTACAGGTCGGGTTAGCTTTTTACACCTATACATTCGATAACTCAATTGGGGTCATAATATCCCAGGATAGCCAACAACCTTGAGTTTCCAATTCATAATACCCTTAATGTACTTTAGTAAGCCTATGAGAACAAACCAATGTTCAATACTAGGATTATGAGTATATCTATTTAACCTACTCACAACGTAGACAATATCAAGCCGAGTATAGTTCATTAAGAACATAAGGATCCTGATAATTTTAGCGTACTATAGTTTGGAAATAATACTCCCTTTATTCTTAACGAGTTGTATGCTAGAGTTGTAAGGAGTTTTAACCGAGATGACATCAAAACTATTAAATTTCTTTAACATATTCTCTATATAGTGTGTTTGATTGAAAATCCCTTATCAGTTTTGGTAACCTTAACTCCTAAGATCACACCTCTCTCAGATCTGTCATCTCAAACTTAGTGGACAATTTTTTGTTTTGTTAATGGATTCTAAGTTAGTATTGAATATCAACAAATAATCAACATAAAAACTTATGATGACACAATTAGTCCCAAACATTTTGAATACATGCATCCATCCACTCCATTTGCAATGAAACCAAAACTAAGAATAGTTCTGTGAAATTTCTCATATCACTGCTTTGGAGCTTGCTTAAGGCCTAAAAAGACTTTTAAGTCTACATACTTTGCCTTCTATACCAGGAGCTTCAAACTTGGTTTCTCTATATAGATCTCCTCGTTTAGATTTCCATTAAAAAAATGTAGTCTTTACATCCACTTGATGTACATACAACTTATGAATGGACGCTATCGCAAATAAGGAACTTATGTATCAAAGAAATCTATACCAAACTTATGAGTAAACCCTTTGACTACTAGCCTTGCCTTATATCTCTAAATTGACTCATATGGTCTCAGTTTTTTCTCTAAAAATCCACTTAGAATTGATTGGTCTAAACCCTCTAGGCAATCAACCAACTTACATATGTGATTAGACATTATCGACTCTACTTCATCATTTATACACTTCTTCAGAACTAGCATCAATAGATCTTATTGCTTATCATATGACTTTGGATCATCTAATGGAAAAGTCTGAACTATAGGAATAATATCGAGAATAAATCACTTATTTCTGTAATAAAGGAAGTTATAAAGTCTAGTCCAAAGGTATGATAATAATATTTTCCTCCTTTACTCTTAAAACTTACATAGTAGTGTTTTCTTCCCTTACTTTTAGAGTTTCTAAAATATACTATATCAGTAAGACTAAGTTATAGCAGTTCGAATTTTCTCTTAGAAACAATTTTAAAGGAAGGTCTAGCATGCTTTGCATCTACATAATCAGAATTTTGCGCATGACAGGTACATACAAAACACTATTCAAATCTAAAGTTTCACTGGAAATCAACTTTAGTAAAATCTTCCTTTTGCTTAGCACTTATAAGTTGCTAGAGTTCCTCGTGTACACTTGTTCACCTTTCTCTATATTCTCAAACTTGATGAACAACTCTTGTTTGGCGTAGTAATATCTGGAAGAGCCAATATCTACAATCCACTCATCATTGTTCTCCACTAGATTGACTTCAAAAACCACTACTGTAATGACCTCATCAGCATTCTTGGCAATGTTTAGTTGTGGTTTGTTATGATTCTGGCTGTCTGATCATTTTTGGTACTAGTAGGCTTTATGTCTAGCCCTTTCGCACACGTAGCAATTGAAGAGCTTTGGTTGGGCCTTGTTATTTCCTTACTTCTTCAAATTGACAATATTTTGAGGCTTGACCTTTTTTTCTGTTCCCATGTTCTTAGATTATGGGCTTAGCATATGAGGCAAATCGAGATCAATCAAGCTACCTTTGAATGGGGCCTTCCTTTGGATTACTTTTTTTGTTATCCTTTTAGAGTATCTCTCATTTTCTTAAACTAAAAAAAGTCTCGTTTATTTAAAACCGAAAAGGATCCCCTGTCAAATCTATTTCCCTTAAATAATACCATCTTTTTATAGGAATCGAGAGTCAAACTGAAATGGGCTTTCTTTTTCTTCATGTATTCTTTCTCCAATCATCCTTGCATCATCAACCACAAGCACCAAAGGAAACACGATAGGTAAGCATGGAGGGACAAGTCGATTCAACTTACATCACACGTGTGAAAGATGAATATTTGAGATGATTTGAAGAATCAACGTGCATCACATGCGTTCGATCTGGCAGCCGAATCATCTGGAGACTTGGATAGATTTAGACCATTAGATCCCTAACTGAATCCCAATAGCTAATGTTAACTGCGGTGTGATGGCTGATAGGAGATAGGGGTTGGTGATGGCTAACCCTAAATTTAAGGTTATGGTTTGCTACCATGCTTTAGGTTGTTGTGCTAATTAGGGTTTAGTTTTGGGTCACTTGGACCAATTGGTTGGTTATAAATTGGACTAAACAAATTTTTGATGAATTTTTTGGGTTTATTATTTGGGTTTGTAAATAAAACGGGCTTGAAAGGTAAAACCTCGATAAAATTGATGATTATAGTTATAATAGATTATCCAATATTCGTGATTTCTTAGCCTAATTACTTAGTGAGACAAAAATTCATTTGTTTGTGGATCGAGTATCAGCTATATTGTTGATACTTGATTGTTTATGTGAGACTAGGTATCATTACTATTTACTACTTGTTATTTAGTGAGATCATATGTTGATATCATTATTAGTATAATTATGACATATTTGATTATTTAGTGAGACATGTACTATTATCGTTGTATCCTTGTGATTTTAATTGAAAATTAACTATTTATTAGATTATATGATACTAAGTGGAATTTGGTAACTATCAATTGATATGATCTTATAACTAAGTCTTATAAACAAGGACTAA